TGTAATTTCTTATTCATACACGGAATATTCTATTCTATCATAAAATAATAATAATAATAATAAAAATAATTGTCCTACATTAGGTATCCCACCATCAATCAAATTTCTTATCCATATTTCATTTCAGAAAATCCTTCGTTCATTTCAAAACTTTTAAAAACCTAATTCTAATTCAAGAGAGATTCGATTTCAACGCAACTAATTGACCTATAATCTGAATATCTAAAATAATGTTTCACTAATTTCGCCTTACAAATTTTTTAGTATTTTTAAATAATTAATTAAATTCAAAATAAATAAGTATACAAATAATATACAATTTATATTATAAAGCATTAATGATGATTAATAAATATTTTAACAGAAACTGTATTTTATATTGATGATAAATTATGAATGTAATAATATGATATTTTTTATTGCTGCTAGCTTTTCTTGGACAGTATTGAAATTCAAGTTAGAATTAAAGATATTGAAAGTGATATGGTAAAGTATTTATGAGGTTAAAAGAAAAAAATAAGTATTAAAAAAATAATTAAAAACCGTTTAATTTATGTGCAGACATTATTAAATGATAGTGACTTTAGAACAAGTATTTTACATATTTTATTCAGTGTTAACATTTTAAAATTTTTTCCTGTATTTTGATAAGATAAGACACTTTTTTAAAAATACATAAATCTATAAGAATAGATAAGAATATTTATTGTTAAAAAAAGAAGTAAAGTTTAGGTTAAAGAAGAAAATTGGGTCCAGTCAGTGGTCAAAACCGAAGGGCTTTAAACTTGGTTAGTAGCATCTTGTTTAGAAAGTCACCTAGATAAATATAAATATAAATATGAATATAAATAATAATAATAATAATAATAATAGTTTTAACAGAAGTTAGAAGCTTCAGAGTTTGGCGTGGGAGCTTCAAAAGCGAACTGAACCAACGACAGTTAAGCCGAACAAACCTTAGTAGTTCCAAACCAAACCAAAATCATATAACAGAACACAGCACAAAAGAAGAACGACAAGCTCACTTAATTCCTAGTAGTATTACTCACCCACGGTCTCTGTCTGAGACAACACTCAGCCACCAACAAAACGGCGTCACTCTGATCGTGATCAACGTCAAAAATGCCTCAAACGGCTCCTACCGGAGAACCCTCCCACGGAGGCTCCGGTGGCCGCATGGTGGTAGTGGGGGTGAAGATGGACTCCCCCAGCAAGGAATTGCTCACGTGGGCTTTGGTTAAAGTGGCTCACCCTGGTGACACCGTGGTTGCTCTGCATGTTCTTGGGAACCAGGGTACCTGGGGAATTTCAGTTCCTTTTTCTTTTTTTTCTTTAAGTTTTTGTTTTTTTAACGTGAATATTGACTGGTGAAATGAGGTTGCGTAGAAACTGTGAATGGAGACGGGAAATCTTCGCTGCTTTCGCTTGTCAAGGCGTTTGACTCTGTTCTTGCCGTTTATGAAGGATTCTGTAACTTGAAACAGGTTCAATTTCTGAATCTTCGTTCTCTGTGTAGACCCTTTTTAATTTCTATAAACAAAAGCGTAATTTTGAAGTTTGTAGAAGTGATTCTTGTTTGAAGTCCCTGAACAAAACATACTAAATTTTATGCTTTTTGTTTTTTTGTTAGGTCGACCTCAAACTCAAAATTTGCCGTGGTTCATCAGTGAAGAAAATTTTGGTTCGAGAAGCAAATGGTTACACGGCAACTCATGTTGTGGTCGGAACAACTCATGGTTTGCATAGAATCCGGTCATCTACTTTTATAGCTAAATACTGTGCTAAAAAGTTGTCCAAGGATTGCTGTATTCTCGCTGTTAACAATGGGAAAGTTGTGTTCAAGCGTGAGAGCTCGCCACCGAGTGTTGACTTACAAGGTGTCAGATTGTTCTTAGTTTTGATTGTTGGCATTCTCACGGGCACGGCAGAATTCTCAGGCTTGAGTTTGTTTTGCAGGGATTGATCGTCAGCACAGAAATGGTTTGATCGGTTCGATTCATTGGACACTCAGTAAGAATACAAAAGTTCTAAGTGATGACAATTCAGGGACGGATGCTGATGAGAAGAAACCTGGCCAAAGTTCAGATCACAGTTTAGCTAAGTTTTTCNAGTTGGGGCTTTTTTATGACCCCCTATTTGAGGGGCTTCTTAAAATATGGTTTTTTTCAATAATAGGGTAGAGACTGACCCTGGGACCATGGGTTAAATTGACACCTCTAGTGACCTCACATTGATAATGTTACGTGACATAACTTTGATTTGACAAGTTTAATTTTTTTTTCAAAAAAAGTTAAAAAATAAATTAATAAAAGTCTAATAAACTACATAGTGACATGCAATATTTTCTTTAACATTGGTAGTACTAAAACAAATGATTTAATTATATTAATTTTTTAGAAATTGAGATCAATTTGAGATTAAAAAAAGTTAAATGACAATTTGACATTTTTTATCAAAAGAAAAATAAAATAACTAATTAAAATTTTTTGAGCAGAGTTTTTCAATAATAAAAGAAATAATTATTTAATAAAACATGGATAGTGAGTATAAATAACTTATCATCTTAAATTGTAATTTTATAATTTCATTAATTAGAACTTTTTTTATTTATTATACTATAGACTCTCTTTTTTTTCATTACCATTTTTTTCTTAATTTAAACAACTTTTACTTTCATTTTCTTTCCATTCATTCTCATCAATATTTTCACTCCTTCAAATCTCCCTTTATCAAAACAAACACATCCAAGAGACGAGAAACTTAATAGAGCAATGAAGCCAGCTCTTTATTCTGTCGCCAAATTCACCAGTTTTGATGCTTCTTCTCTCAAGAACAGAGAGATAAGTCAATGTTGTTAGTTATCAAGAAAGAAAGATATAATTTATGTAAGGTAAAAATGATATAATATATGCATACGAAAAAAAAAACAATATCGAAATTACTAGTTGATTTTTTTTCTTTAGATAAAAAGAATCTCTAGTTCATATAAATAGTATGATTAATAACTTGAGATAATTAATTATTATTACTAAATTTATAGTTTATTATATATCTTGTCAATTTTTGTAAAACTTCAAAAAAAATAGTATTTTAAAAGTGATGATAATTTAAAAATAGTGAGACTCGGATATTTTAATATTAAATGATTTAGTTATAAATAGTTTTGTTATAAACGAGTTTTATTATTTTAAAACGTATCTTTAGAAACCACTTTTTTAGAGTTCTCTACTTTCTATCTAAGAGTTAGGGCTCCTAAGTCATCTGTTTGACGATTAGGAAGTGTATAGACGATCACGGCGTCAAGGTCTACTTTCTACTCATTATTACCTTTTAGCTTTGGGCCATGATCATGCATGGAAACTATTTTGCATGTATCATTTGGCCTTCCTTTCTTGTTCTTGGTTGATCTAAAGTTCTAAGGACTATGTCCGTTTCCAATTTGTTGTGTCATAGGTTCGTCTAAAGATTCCTTGCGTTTCAAGCAATCGGCAGAACGTTTCTTTGAGTTAGGCAGTTTATTGCAAGGTAAGGGAAGCTAGATTTGTCTTAGATTGTGTTTATTTATATTAAAATAGAATATATACGAATAATATGATATATTTGATATATGAAATTGTGATAGTAATATAGTATTGGTTAGGTGTAAATAGCGATATTTGGTATTATGAAGTGTTTGTGATTGTAATAATGTGAAATTGATGTTCTATGTTGTTATGAAGTTGTGTTGTTATTTGAAATTGAATTCAAAATGATTGTGATGAGAAATGGTGAAATTCTTTGGTGTTAGGCCTAAAATAGAGGTTTGTATGTGTGAGTTTGATAGTTTGGGGCTGAGGTGAGGAAACTATTGTCTAGGTGCTTTCATGAGGTAAATTGGGACTTGTTAGGAGGGCTAGATGGTTGAAAGCTGTTATGTAGCAAATGGAGGGTTTATAGTTGAAGTTTTCAAGTGTTTTTGGTGTAAAAAAAGGGTTTTGAGTAGTGAGATTTTGAAGTAGTGAGTATAAACTATTTTGGATGGTTGAAGGTCTGTTATTATATCTATTAGGACTTGTCTAGGTACTAAAATCAGTAAAATCTATCATGCAAGTGATATTGGCTTCATAAGTTGAGTTTTTAATCCATTTTAGAGGTTTTAGGTGTTGAGAACTGAAAGTAGGAAGGTTGGGATGGAACTGAGGTGTTGGAGGGTGCTAGCAAGTGTATTTAGACTTGTCTATGTAGTAGGTAAACTGATATGTGGGTTAGAAAGTGTAGAATTGAAATTCAGTAACTTGTGAAAGTGAATTTGGGTTTTAAAGTGTCAAATTGAGTTATATGAGGGTTTTCAAAGTTTTCTCAAGGTCTGAAGGGTCCTAGAGACCTTTAGAAGTTAGGGGACAAAGTGTTTAAAGTGAGAAAATTGGGTCTTGATCTTACTGATAGCGTCTGAGCGCCCAAATTGGGCGTTGAGCACCCATTTCCAGAGGTGCCAACGCTAAGCCCTGTCATGCACCACTACACCAGTTTCAAGGGGGCTTTTAGGGTTTTGGATGTCCGTTTTAGACGTTCTTTAGGTCGTTTTGGGGGTTTTGGACCTTCCAGAGCTGTTGGTGAGGGTTTCAGAGTTGTTTTCCTTACATAAATGTGAGTATCAAGATGCCATGAAAAATTATGTTATTATTTTTTAATGTATAATCAAAGGTTTTTTTGTGATAGTATGCCATGTTTGTGTGAAGTGTGTGTGTGT